TGCTATGAAAGTTGTTGATACTAATACCTGCCTTCCTCGACTTGAGATAATTTTCAATTAAGGGATTATGAATCCGGAGATTTTAATTAAAAAGGAACTTTCACCTGTCTAGTGACTCATTTGAATTGTACTGTCGTTCTTAATGGATCTGTGGGTCATCGCAGTAATAATATTATTACTGGACCTTTAGTAAGTGTCAAAGTTGCCATCTCGTCTCTACTTCTTCGAGATTAGGCGGGATACTTACTGAATACACGTTGTTTTTGTACTTATACTACACTTCTGTGCATTTTTGTTGCAAAGGCACATGCGTCACTAATGGCTTAGCAAGCGTAGCAGCATGGTTGACACGGAGACTAGGTGAGCTGTATTTCCTCGAGGCGACCCGCAGCTAGTGTAGTCTCTCTCAGGATTTTATTTATTTTCTGTCCAATTGTATTTTGGACAGCTGTTGTACTTTATTCGATTATTCTTAGAAATTGCTCATGCACTTGTGACACCGGGTTCTGGGATGGTTGTAAAGTATTTTATATCAACTGCTTATTATTTAATTTGATTTAAGACGATTATCTTTTTAAAATGGTAAATTTGAAGGGAAAATCATAGATTTCAAGAGTATTAAAACTAGGATTTAATTAAGTATTTGGTGGGCTTGCCTGACAGTGGTGTCCGGTGCCATCACGACCCTTAGTGGATTTTGGGTCATGACAAATAGGGCAAGGGAATAAATGGAATTGCAGTAAAGATCTCGGCAAGGGAATAACATTTAAACAATTAAATCCCGAGAAGGGAATAACATTTAAACAATTAAATCCCAGCAAGGAAACAACATCAATAATATCAACATCCCGGCAAGGGAGATAACAAATAAATCAACAATAGCCCGGAAAGGGTGTCAACATGATAAATTCTTTTCTTTCTCACTTTTACTTCACAATTCACTTCATACCTCGAACCAATGCTCTAGAGATTCAATTATCACTTACACTTTCACAATTCGTTACATAACTTGAGCCAACGCTCCTTAATGTTCATAAGTCACAATTCCTTCCACAAACTTTACACAACATATAGGAACTATCACCAAGGCATGGAAGATACAACGAAGTCATGAAGATCACAATGTAAAGACTCACGGGAATGCTAGACACCAACGTATAGATACTCGTCACCATGCCTATACGTTGTACTCAACAATTAACACTTAACAAATAGGACTCAACTCCTAATCCCTCAAGCTAAGGTTAGACTAAACACTTACCTCGATGCCACGAACACAATTCACGTCTCAATTATAGCTTTACCCCTTGATTCCACCACCAATTCGCTCGTATCTAGTCACAAGTTACTTAATTATATCAATAAACGTTAAATGAATCAACTCCCATGCATGAAAATAAGTTTTCCAAAGTCTTACCCAAAAAGTCAAAAATTGACCCCGGGCCCGCTTGGTCCAAACCCGAAATTCGGACCGAAACCCGATTATCCATTCACCCCCGAGCCGGGATATATAATTGGTTTGGAATCCGACCTATATTTGAGGTCTAACTCCCCAAATTTCAACATTCTTAGGTTTTTTTCAAAATTCCCAATTCCACCATGAAAACCCTAGATTCTAGGATGAAATCTTGTAAAAAGAAGTTAAGAAGTAAAGAAAATGAGTTACAAATTACTTACCAATGTTTTGGAGAAGAAAGGTTGTTTGGAAAATCGCCTCTTATGTTTTTGGGGTTTTGAAAAATAAAAAATAACTGAAAATCCCGTCTAAATATACCCCTCTCAGACCCCCTGTGCGGACCGCACAAAATCGAGTGCGGCTGCACAGCTCTCCCTGATGACCCGTGAACCTATGCGGACCGCACAAAATCGAGTGCGGCCGCATAGCCCACCACCGCGCACTGCACGAGACCCCACGCGGATCGCACTGGCCCCTTCCGCGGTCGCACACGAATTTTTGCAGACCGCACTGGCGGGTTCAGAGATCTAAAATTTTCTCTGAACCTGCAATAACTGTGTTTGTAAGCCTAAGACATCGCGAAACCTACCCGAAACTCACCCGAGCCCTCGGGGCTCCAAACCAAACATACCTACTAACTCAAAAACATCATATGAACTTATCCGTGCGATCAAATCGCCAAAATAACATCATAAACATCGAATTAAACCTCAAAATCAATGAAATATTTTAAAACTTCTTAAATCATCAAATTTTACATTTAAGGTCCGAATCACGTCAAATGGATCCCGTTTCTTACCAAACTTCACAGAATTATCTTCAATCATATATAAGACCTGTACTGGGCGCCGGAACCAAAATACGGGCCCGATACCAACATGTTCTAATCAAAATTCATTTCCAAATCCTTTAAACAATTTCAGAAAACAATTTTCTTCAAAAATTCATTTCTCGGGCTTGGGACCTCGAAATTCGATTCCGGGCATACGCCCAAGTCCCATATTTTCCTACGGACCCTCCGGGACCGTCAAATCACGGGTCCGGATCCGTTTTCCCAAAACGTTGACTGAAGTCAAATTAATTTATTTTATAGTCAAAATTTATCATTTTTCACAGATTTTCACATATAGGCTTTCCGGCTACGTGCCCGGACTACGCACGCAAATCTAGGTGATGCTAAAAGAGGTTTTTAAGGCCTCGGAATGCAGAATTCATTTTAAAAACAAGTGATGACCTTTTGGGTCATCACATTCTCCACCTCTAAAACAATCGTTCGTCATCGAACGGACAGAAGAAGGAAGTACCTGAGTCGGGGAAAAGATGGGGATAACGGCTCCGCATATCGGACTCGGACTCCCAGGTCGATGCCTCAGGAGGCTGACCTCTCCACTGAACACGAACAGAAGGAAAACCCTTCGATCTCAACTGACGAACCTGTCGGTCTAGAATAGCTACCGGCTCCTCCTCATAAGACAAGTCCTTATCCAACTGGACAGTGCTGAAATCTAACACGTGGGACGGATCGCTGTGATACTTCCGAAGCATGGACACATGAAACACTGGAATCACGGTTGATAAGCTCGGTGGCAATGCAAGTCTATAAGCCACCTCTCCGACTCGATCAAGAATCTCAAATGGGCCAATGAACCTAGGGATAAGCTTGCCCTTCTTTCCAAATCTCATCCGCCCTTCATAGGCGACACCCGAAGCAATACCTGCTCACCAACCATGAATGCCAAATCACGAACCTTACGGTCAGCATAACTCTTTTATCTTGACTGAGTCGTACGAAGCCTATCCTGAATGATCCTGACCTTGTCCAAGGCATCCGGAACCAGACTCGTACCCAACAACCGAGCCTCTCTCGGCTCAAACCATCCAACCGGCGACCGACACTGCCTACCATACAAAGCCTCATAAGGAGCCATCTAGATACTCGACTGGTAGCTGTTGTTGTAGGCAAACTCTGCTAACGGCAAAAACTGATCCCACGAACCTCCAAAGTCAATGAGACAAGCTCGGAGCATATCCTCCAAAATCTGAATAGTCCGCTCGAACTGCCCGTCCGTCTGAGGATGAAACGCTGTGCTCAACTCAACCCGTGTGCCCAACTCTCGCTGAACTGCTCTCCAGAAATGTAAGGTAAACTACGTACCTCGATCCGAAATGATAGACACGGGCACACCATGAAGACGAACAATCTCCCGGATATAGATCTCAGCTAACCTCTCGGAAGAATAGGAGACTGCCACAGGAATGAAATGTGCTGACTTGGTCAGCCTATCAACAATGACCCACACTGCATCGAACTTCTTCTGAGTCCGTGGGAGTCCAGTAACAAAATCCATAGTGATATGCTCCCACTTCCACTCAGGTATCTCAATCTTCTGAAATGAACCACCGGGCCTCTGATGCTCGTACTTAACCTGCTGACAATTCAAACATCGAGCCACATATGCAACGATATCCTTCTTCATTCTCTGCCACCAATAATGCTGCCGCAAGTCCTGATACATCTTTGCGCCGCCCTGATGAATAGAATACCGGGAGCTATGGGCCTCTACTAAAACCAGCAACTCTCGAAGACCATCCACATTAGGCACACAAACTCGACCCTGCAATCTCAAAACTCCATCATCACCTAGGGTAACCTGCTTGGCACCTCCGTGCTGCATCGCGTCTCTGAGGACACACAAATGGGGATCATCATACTACCGATCTCGGATACGCTTCAATAATGAAGAACGAGCGACTGTGCAAGCTAGCACACGGCTGGGCTCAGAAACATCCAACTCACGAATTGGTTGGCCAAGGCCTGAACATCCAAAGCAAGCGGTCTCTCACCGACCGGAATATAAGCTAAACTGCCCATACTAGCTGACTTCCTACTCAGAGCATCGGCCACCACATTGGCCTTCCCGGGATGATATAAAACGGTGATATCATAGTCTTTCAACAACTCCAACCACCTCCTCTGCCTCAAATTCAACTCCTTTAAATACTGCAGACTCTTGTGATCCATGAACACCTCACATGCCACGCCATACAGATAATGCCTCCAGAACTTCAACGCGTGGACAATGGCTGCTAACTCCAAATCGTGAACCGGATAGTTCTTCTCATGAATCTTCAACTACCGCAAAGCATAGGCAATGACATTGCCATCCTGCATCAATACTGCACCAAGCCCAACACGAGATGCATCACAATAAACTGTATAAGGCCCTGAACCTGTAGGCAAAACCAACACCGGCGCCGTGGCCAAAATTGTCTTGAGCCTCTAAAAGCTCGCCTCACACTCGTCCGACCATCTGAACTGGGAACCCTTCTTGGTCAACGTGGTCATCGGGGCTACAATAGATGAAAACCCCTCTACGAACCGACGATAGTAGCCTGCCAAACAGAAGAAACTCCGGATCTCTGTAGCTGATGCTGGTCGACGCCAGTTCTTGACTTCCTCAATCTTTTTCGGATCAACCTGAATACCCTCTGCTAACACCACATGACCCAGGAATGCAACTGAACTCAACCAGAACTCACACTTCGAAAACTTGGCGTACAACTGACTGTCCCTTAAAGTCTGAAGAACCACTCTAAGATGCTGTTTGTGCTCCTCCCGGCTGCGGGAATATATCAAAATATCATCAATAAAGACTATCACGAGCGAATCCAAGTAAGGCCTAAACACTCGGTTCATCAAATCCATAAAAGCTGCTGGGGAATTTGTCAACCCGAACGACATCACCAAGAACTCATAATGCCCGTACAGTGTGCGGAAAGTTGTCTTATGGACATCGGATGCCCTAATCTTCAACTGATGGTAGCCAGATCTCAAGTCAATATTTGAAAATACCTTGGCACCCTGAAGCTGATCGAACAAATCATCAATCCTCGGCAGCGGATACTTATTCTTGATTGTAACCTTGTTCAATTGCCGGTAATCTATACACATTCGCATCGATCCATCCTTCTTCTTAACAAACAACATTGGCGCACCCCAAGGCGAAACATTGGGCCTAATGAAACCCTTTTCAAGCAAGTCCTACAACTGCTCCTTCAGCTCTTTCAACTCAGGCGGGGCCATACGATACGGCGGGATAGAAATGGGCTGAGTGCCCGGAGCCAAATCAATGCAAAAGTCAATATCTATATCAGGTGGCATACCTGGAAGGTCTGAAAGGAATACCTCAGGAAACTCACAGACAATGGGCACAGACTCAATAGAAGGAACCTCAACACTAGAATCACGAACATAGGATAAATAGGCCAAAAACCCCTTCTCGACCATACGCCGAGCCTTAAAATAGGAGATAACACTGCGGGTAGAATGACCAGGAGTCCCTCTCCACTCCAAACGAGGTAAACCCGGTAAGGCTAAGGTCACAGTCTTGGCATGACAGTCCAAGACAGCGTGATAAGGTGATAACCAGTCCATCCCCAATATAACATCGTAATCAATCATGTCCAGAAGAAGCAAATCTACACGAGTCTCAAGACCTCCAATCACAACTATACATGCACGATGGACTCGATCTACCACAATAGAATCACCCATCGGTGTAGACACATGAACAGGAGCACTCAAAGGATCACTAGGCAGGACCAGATACGGTGCAAAATAAGATGACACATACGAATATGTAGACCCTGGATCAAATAACACTGAAATATCTCTATCACAAACCAGAACGGTACCTGTAATAACTGCATCGGAAGCCTCAGCATCGGGCCCTGCTGGAAGAGCATAACATCGGGGCTGGGCCCCACCACCCTGAACTACATTTCTGGGACGGTCTGCCACTAGCTGGCCTCCCCCTCTAGCGGCCTGAGCTCCACCTCTAGGACCTTTAGCTCCACATCTAGCACCTCTACCCCCACCTCTAGCTGGCTGGGCGGGCTGTGGAACACTCGGTGCCTGAACCATGGCACGGGAACCCTGATGCTGAGAGCTGCTCGGTGCTCGTAGGCAAAATCTAGCAATATGACCCACATCCCCACAAGTGTAACAAGCCCTCGGCTACTGTGGCTGCTGACCCTGACGACCTGAATGACCACCCCGAAATCTCTGAAGCGGCGGTGCACTGATGGGAGCTGGTGGTGCACTGTAGGACTGTTGATTAGAATGCTGCATCTGAGGACCACGACCACCTGAAGCACCGTGAGAAACCTGAAGTGCCGACTGAAAAGGCCTAGGAGGATGGCCTCTACCATACGAATCTCTACCTCCAGACGAGGTACCACTGAATCTACCTGAATGACGGGGCCTCTTGTCCGACGTGACCACCCCCTGTGATAGAACCATCTCCACTCGCTTGGCCACATTGGCCGCCTCCTGGAAAGATATCTCACTCCCAGTCTCTCTAGCCATCTGAAGACGAATCGGCTGAATAAGTCCATCAATGAACCTCCTCACCCTCTCTCTCTTAGTGGGAAGTATGATAAGAGCATGACGAGCCAAATCGATGAATCTGGTCTCATACTGGGTGACAGTCATGGAACCCTGATGGAGACGCTCAAACTGCCTCCGATAGGCCTCTCTCTCTATGTGATAGGGAGAAACTTCTCCAGAAATAGCTGCGTGAACTGCTCCCAAGTCAAAGCTGGCGATCCGATCGGTCTAGCCAAGCAATAGTCTCTCAACCAAGTCTTGGCGGATCCAGACAAGCGAAAAGTTGCAAAATCGACCCCGTTGGTCTCAACTATCCCTATGTTCCTAAGAACCTCATGACAGCTGTCTAGATAATCCTGGGGATCCTCAGTAGATGCACCGCTGAAAGTAGTAGTGAAGAGCTAAGTGAACCTGTCCAATCTCCACAATGCATCGGCAGACATAGGTACTCCATCACCGGCCTGAGCTACAACACCCGGCTGAGCTGCTCCAACTGGCTGAGCTGCTGGAGTCTGAAACTGGGGGGCTACCTGCTCCGGAGTGCGAGTAGCAGGCGTTTGGGCTCCTCGTCCAGCCTGAGAGACGGCTGGTGCTACAGGAAGCAAGACTGCCCGGGTGACACTCTCCATAAGGCCCACTAGATGGACCAGAGCATCCTGAAGAACTGGGGTGGCAATAAACCCCTCTGTGACCTGAGTTGGGCCCACCAGAACTGCTAGGGCCGGAACCTCATCATCAAAATCAACCTGAGGCTCCGCCGCTGGTGTTGCTGCTCTGGGCTGAGCTCTGCCCCTACCTCAGCCTCTAGCATGGCCTCGTCCTCTGCCCCTCGTGGGAGCTGCTGCTGGGGGCTCGGGCTGCTGGTCAGCGGATGAGGAAGCGCGTGTTCTCGGCATCTACGAGAGAACAGAATAGAAATTCAATCAGCATGAGAAAACCAAAACCGCACGACATGAGAGAAAAAGATGTGAGATTTTC